TTTTGTATACCAACCCCTTGCGCGAATGCAAGCGTCAAGTCTTCAGGAAAGAGAGTCAATTAGACGGTTAATCTGCTGTGGTGTTATCGCTGCCCAGGCCAACTGGATGCATTTAATCAACTTTGCTCTATCGACCTCATTGTTTTTCAAGAGGTCTAATTGAGGAAACATCTTCTTAATATTCAGCTTTAATTGCTTCCATATATGCTCAATTGGGTTAAGATCTAGGGAATGTGCCGGCCAGTCAATCCACTGAATTTCTCATTCTAGCAGCCATACTGTCGTAGACTCTGAGGTGTAAATTCGAGCATTATCTTGCTGAAATTAACGAAACCCCATCCAAATAGGAAGTAAACCTTCTATTAATGCCTCCTGATAACTCAATGAAGTATATCCTCTTCTTCTGGCGGTCTGGTCGCAGATCATAATGATAATATCGGATTTTTCTCCTCTCCAGATTGCTCCCCAGACCATAATCGATAATCTGGACTTTCCATAAACTGTTACGTTTACTAATTCCTTCATAAACTTCTCGTGAGGCTTACAGAAGACCCAACCTCGTTTATAATTGGGTTGCGATTAAACTGACGATTCATCAGAGAAAATGGTCTGAAGGTGTCATCAGTTGAGTGATAGTTTCCCGAGCGGCGTCCATCCGCAAACTTCAAAGCGACATACCTCCAACAAATTCATCAATACCTTCCTTCCAAGCTTAACACCATAAAAACCGCTGACGTGCCGTTTCCTTAGATAGCGGTATTCTCTGCATAGCCCTCCATTTGCAACCGTAATAGAGTCTAATAACTCGGCGTATTGTAGTTCGTGAGATTTCGTCACCTAGATAATTGACAAGCGATTCGTATGTAATTCTACGGTCGCGTTTGAGTGAAATTAATACGTACCGAATCTACTGAACTGTAAGTTTCCTAGGACGCCAAGATCGAGGTTTTTTGTCTAAGGTTTGGTGAGTTTTCCAGCATTGAAAGATATTAAGGATGGTGGCTGGTAAACATCCCGCCTCCTCAGCGACATCTCGGTATGACCTCCCGCTTTCTACTGCTTGAACGATAAGAGCTCTGGCCACCTCACTCAAAATCCTGACTTCTCCTGCGCCTTGCGCATACAATGGACAGAATTCCATTCTTTTGCGACATGTTTTGTCGAAGTTGTAGACGATTGAAGAAATTAGATGAATTCGGTTTTATGGTGGTGGATTACATTGCGGGGCAGCGTTCGGATTTTTTTGGCGCATAATTTTTACTTAGATCTTTCATTTGTGCGCTACCCTTACCAGTGCCTTCAAACTGGTTAAAGAGAAGGTAGCTTCTTAACCTTCAAGTCCCTCGCCAGTGAACAATAACAAAAGAAGGCGTCAGTCAATTTGGGGATGTGAGCAGTGTGATGTAGCGATTTGTAACTCGAGAGATTGCTGGTACTTTTATCATAGGCTAAATTAAGTGGAGGAGTAGGTATTTCCAATATGGTGCATTTTAATTGGCTGTACCTAACTGATCGCCTCGATCAACGTGATTGACTTAGGATGTGCAAATAACACTGCTGTGGCCCTAACACTCTCGTCAAGGCGCATTCGGTTTCAGAAGCCCTCATCATCAAGCTGATTAGCAAGGGCATGGATGCTGTTTTGACCCTGAGTAAGCTCTCGCTTGCCTTGTGCAATGCAATTATAGATATCCTGCTGCGTAGCAAGTGTATCTGAGTCGGCATGTAGATAGGATCTGATCTCCTTTGGTGCAATACTGGCATTGGCGAGTTGATGGACCATTGACTTATCCGGACTTGATAACTGACGATGTAACGTATGATAAGCGAGTGCACCAACCAAGCGAGTGCACCAGAAATTCCCACCATCAAGACAGAATAACGTGTTTGATAAGCGAGTGACCCAGACAAGCGAGTGACCCAGCACACTGTATACCTAAAAATAACCAATCCTATACTATTTTACTACCTTGAATAAAATAGCTAAAAATCTAATAAAAATATTTTATACAATAGTATAGCTAACTTTATTAATTACCATTTTTTTTTAAAGATTTTTAGCTATTTTATTTTATATAGAAAACCTTAAAATACAGTGTATTTTACAGTGTAAATGAACTTTAAAGTTTATAGCTATCTCTTTGAGTGGCATAAGACTACATACAAGGAGGTCACGACCGGGGTGTAGGGCCAATCAAAATGAGCGCGACGGCCGATACCTCCACCCACACCTAAATTAGCGCGTGATAGAAGTACCAACAGTCAGCATTGTTACATATCGCTACATTACATACTTTGCAACCGTACCTGCTTTGTGGACCTCGTGCATTTCCTGATATAGGCTGTAGATAACCTCCTTTTGCCTTCCTTTTTTTAATAGGGCGAGGCTGACCTTGCCTGAAGCCTTGGCAAGCTAGGCAGGGGGAAGGGCCGCCTCGGCGGACATGATTGATACCTCTTTGTAGGTGATTTTGCCGTGCTTCTGTATCCTCGATGTCTTCTTCCTTCCCTGACCGATTTCTCTTCCTTGTGCCGCCTTCAGCAGCATATATGTTGAAAATCGCGTTGCAGATGCATTCCTTCCAAGCTTGTAGCGTGCTATAGGGCTTCCAACGAGGGTGCCGGGTCTTCTTTTGCAAAATGAAGCTATTCGCAAGTGCGACTTCGAGGAGGAAGCTCCAAAGCAATGCCTGCCACGGACCGCGGCGGAATCGATGCTCGTAGGTTGTATAGGACCTTATCTGATCGCCGCGATCCACGTGATTCATTTCATCGTTATACTGAGCGGCAACAGTAGGTATAGGGATCATTTTGAAGCTATCCCTGTTGAAAATCTGCTGCAGCTGTTGTGCCTCTGCCTTCGTGCCTTTCTTAGCCGGCAGCTTCCTCTTTTTTAGTGTGCGCTCGTGAGGGGCGCCTGTGTGCACAGTTGAGATGAAGAGCACCACGCCGCTATCCTTCCAAGCGATTTGGATGACCTAGGGGGAATAAAAAGGGACAAATTAGTAAGGGAAATACAGCCAAAAGTCGTCTGTACCTGTTTATCCGGCATCGGGATCAATATGACCTCGTTATACCTCAAAGGCGTGCCGTCAGGAGCTTTGCCGGTCTCTTTTATCCGCTTCATCTCGGTGCTAATGCCGCAGTTAGGGCGTGCCGTGCCTGTGGCACCAAAGCCAAGCTGCCGAAGCAGGCGGAAGAGCTGCGGTGACGAGAAGAGGTTATCTGTGAAGACGTGATATGTCTGAGGAAGCAGCCTTTTCACTAGGTGAACCACGACGCTCTGTGTATTGCTAAGAGGGATCTCGGTCTGTAGCTTTCCCTTCTTGCCAACCGGCTTCGGCGTAGGTAGGTTGATGATAACAGCGGTATATGGTGATGACTTCACGTGCCAAAGCCACTGTAGAAAGAAGCCCTGTTGGGCGATAACCCAGACTTTGAAGCCCACCGGTGTGGGCTTTCCCTTGACAAGCGTTATCTCTTTTGATCTGCCTGTAAACGGCACCATACACTCATCTACAGTCAGATTAATTCCTGGAAGATAGAGCTCGGTTGACACCTTCTGTATAAGGTCAGACCACTCTTCAGCCGCTTGGAAGGTCTTTGGAAGATCACCCTCATCCCTCACATCGACTTTGGTGTAGTCAAAAGTGCGAAAATACCGGCTAATCAGTTGAAACTTCCGTAAGGGCATGAACTTGATGATTCAGTGAAGAGGGCGCTGATCTCCTAGGCTAGGTGCCTTCCAATGGTCCTTTATTGAGATTTCCCTATGGATTCCTAGGTAAATAACGACTCCAAGCCATACATAAGCCGTTGCAGAAGAGAGGCCTTCCCACTTGAGAATGCGTGAGTGTTCGGAAAGAGGGGTATTCCAGTTGTCAATAACGCCGTTTTCTTTAAGGTGAGAGACCCAGCTGTTGGTGTATTTGATCCATGACTGTATAAGGGAAATAGGTATAAAAAGCTGGAATAATTGAAGGGGTTCCTTGGGTAGAGGGTTGATCTTGAAATCATGATATTCTAGCTTGAAAGGTTGAAAATCCTGACCGCGGCCCTCTTCGGGCGGAAAATTAGGCACGCCGGTGGGGTCACTCAAAGGAGGGGTCTCAAAGCTATGATCATCTAAGCTATCTCGTATCTTTGAATAGCTCATCGTTTCAATTACGACAGGCTAGGGACTATTTGTGTGAGGTTTTTGACGAATTTGGTGGTTAAAAATCATGTAGCTTTCTGACGAGAACTTCACGTACCCCGCAGGTACTAGCGTGGTTAGTCAGCTACGTGGGGCGAGTGACCTGCTGTAGTCTTGTGCCACTCAAAGAGATAGAGGATTTTTTTTTAAAAATGTAAGAAAAACAATATAACTTATTTTAAGACTTACATATAAGGTATTAAAATTATAGCTATTTTAGGCTTAGTTTGAATTTTTGAAGAATTCTTTTAAAACCGGGTTTAAGGTGGAAATAGGACTGGGTCACTCGCTTATCAAACACGTTAGAGCTTAAAATCACAGCAAAGCATCTAATTAATTGAGACTAATCGCTATACTCTTCTTCAGATATTCGTACATCTATCTGACATGTTCTTGTATTATGTCCAGTCTTTCCACAGGCTCTACAGCGCCGGTCTCTCGCCAGCTCTGACCTTCCCCGACCACCACTTCTCGATAATTCGGCCACCATCTGCGCATCAACGTCTTTCTGATCAATTACATCCCTACCCTAACCTACAGTCATCTTTCCTCCATTCCGTAGGCGGTTTTTTTTTGCTCTGCGCCTTTTGCTAAGAGTTTCAATTGCCTGTCGAAGGATCTGATTCTCAAACTTTAATAATGCTAACTTAATGAATTCCCAATTAATTCCAGCTGATAAGGAGACATCTGCTGCCTATAATAACGAGAGCTTTGAGTGCTAAAACCGGCCGGGGTCAAGGAGGCCGGCTGATATTCCAGCCGATTGAATCCGGGGGCACAGCTTCACACCTTTCCATGTGGAAGGCAGTCCAGTCGATACGCACCCTCCTGTATGTCTTACACTATAAGAAATACCGCCGCCATCCTAACTAGCTACAACCTAATTCAGCATATATCTAACTATATTACAAGAGTTGAGTCATAAACTATAGGGCTTAATAACCTGCGACATAGAAGCACTATATAGTTGCTGCCGATAAGCAACTGGACAGTCCTTGTGGGCAAGAAGGAGTGTCTTCAGGTTGACGGTCTCTTCTCTGAGATGGGCTATTTGCGCCATCAAGGTATTGTTCTCCGTAGTGAACAACTCAACCTTGGTCTGTAGCTGGGTAAGCCATTGCTTCCTCCTGAGACGACACTTGTAGGCAGCGACGCTGGTTTGAGGAGTCAGTAAACTGCCACAATACAGAACAATCAGGGATTGTAAGACATACCGATTGCGCTCGAGAAAGTTCTTTCGGTTCTCTTCATTTGTCATCTTTGCCATGGACACGCTTTCCTCCAGTCTCATCGTGGACCCTTCATCCGATAAATCCATGTCACTGTTGGTAGCAGCGGCATTGGCATTGGCCTTGGATTTCTTATTAGTGGGAGCCTGGACCGTGGACTCATCCGCTTTTCGTCGGCCGTTGGTGGGAGAGGGGTTTCTCTTGCCCATGCCTCGAGTATTGAGCCTGGCTTGTTCGCTCTCATCAGAGGCTATACTATGCATACTCATGCCGCGAGCAGAGCCAATTGGATCCCAATTTACCCACGACATTTGCTGCGAAGGGATTATTCTCTGTGGAGCGACGAGAGCAGGGTGGTGAGCGTGACTGGGGACGCCTGAAGTGGTGGCGAACTGGTTCGTACTCTGGGCATCGTTTCCGCCTCGGGCCAACATGTCCTTGTGATGGCAGAGGAGCACCGTTCTAATTACGTTTGGCCGCAGCTAAGAAAACAGCGGAAGGTAAAAAGGAACAGAAAAAGGACACTGAGATAGCCCGTGCCGTGGAGTTGCGGCTTGTGCTTGACAAGAGGCGAAGGCGTTTCGAAGAGCGACAAAGCGGTTGTCGGCGGGGTTATGTTCACATGTCAGAATTTGTAAAGGGACACTCCTGTCATCGGGCGTCCCGTGGCATTTGTGACAGAGTGACAAGTGTAGGCTAGCAACTCAAAAACGCTCAACGAATAGAATCGAGGATGGCAGTAAGGGAACAGAATAGGCAATCATTGATTGTCGTATGATTTCTTAAATGGTGATGACATGCCTTGACCTCACACTTTACCAGCCGAATACCCATTACCCCTGTCACGCTAAGGTAGCTAGCTGTATCCGTACGGTTTACAGGACGTATTACCCAATAAAACCCACTGTCGAATGTTCGAAGGAGGCCCAATCGCTGGTCAGTGCAAGTGCCCCTGATCGAATTTTAAGTCAAAAAGAGGGGTTCAGGCTTTTTAATTAGCTAACTACTTTTCTTTCGTTGTGGATAAATTCCGAGTTTCAAGTGTTTGAATGATCGGAACGAGGGGAGGCGTGTACAATGTATATCCGGGCCTTATCCGGTATACATATTAAGAAACATGGAATTTATGGACTTGGGAAACATTCATTATTATCATTATCTCTAGCTTTCTGTAAATATGCATCCTGAAGTCGAGTTGACTAAATATTATCATGAAACGGCCGTTCGAGAGCACTCAGACTAACTATAATGCAGCTGGTGAACAAAGCGAGACAACTCCATGACTCCAGCATCCTAGCTAAACCGAGCTATTCCGTAACAGGCCACTCGATATTTTTTCAGCCTCAGCCTAGTAAGCAGTCCGCTAGCGAAGTGGAGGTAGTCTGTTTGGCCAATGATAGGGATTAAGTTTATGGAGCCATGCTGAAACCGAAGCCAACTACTTGACCGTGGCCTGAATCCAAGTGCCAATGCTGGCTTTAAAATTTTAACAACAGAATACGAAAATGTAACGCGCTGTGTCGTCCTGAGTCTGAGCGTAGCGTACACGTAATACCCCAGCCTTACTCTTACTACCCCAACAAAGCATGGCGCCACAGCGCTTTGGCCCTGTAACTAATTGCTTACTCTGAACCGGCTCCCGCTTCAACAAGGCTTGGCGACTGGTATGTATGCCGTTTGAACCTTGCAACTGAAAAGTGCAAACTAGGACAATACAATGGATTCCGGGTAGGTGGCTTCGACATCGAGGTCAGCATGCAGAATTCCAGGCCCCAGACCTAACCCCTGAAGAAGAAAAAGGCTGTACGACGTCTACCGAGTTGGTTGTGTATCTGTCCCTCCAAGTGTGAATACCCCTATCCATGGGTCACTCTTGAAAAGGGATTTGTTTCGATATATAGAAGAAACGCATATAACACCCGTGCGTGTGTAAATGTCCCACCAGATTAGTTGCGCCTTAGGAGCCCTCGTTTAGTCCTCTTTCTGCTTGCCACTCGACTGCATTTGAGCATTCTTCATTTTCCTGTAATGGCCCGCAACACCAAACAGCTAAACGGGCCATTCCACCTCAAGTGGGTTCGCAAGCACTTTTATCAAGGCAGCACTACAAGCCCACATATGGAGGTTGGCTCGCAGAAGTGCCCCTGCCAATGTTTCGGACATAAGGTCGTGAGGTCAATTAGATTTAACAGATCCTCACCTGGCACTGTTGACGACCAAGCCAAACCAGAGACATCCCATGAGGAGGCCTACCAGTACCACCAACCCTCCGATAAAATCTGGGTTAACCCTATGCCTGAACCCAAAGAAACCAACGAAAGTAACAACTCTCATCTCTCAAACAAGCTACACCATGCCTTTTTGTTCCCTGCCAAGCCTCACTTACTGGGACCCCCGTCAACACCACCTCCAGAAAAACCACTTCCTGAAATCCCCACACAAACTTGACCCCATAAAACATTAGACAGGGTTGGCCGAAGGAACAGGATTCTCGACCTCCTGGTCGAAGCTCCCCAAACACTGCACAAGAAGCTATGGCAAACTACTCCCCCTTCCCAAAGCGGGCGCCTATAACTCGTCCAAGGAGTTCATCCTATCAGAGAATCCACAAGCCACAGGGGTTAACTTGCGCCAATGCCACTGTCACCAAGCATCATCCTCGACATGTCGCTGAACTCTGTCAGGACCCGTCTATAGGGAGAGAACCCTGCATAGATCAAGCAACACTACCCAAGAGCCTAGGGGATTGAGGATATACACTTATCCGATATCATGCTGACTAGAACTGAGAGAGACGGAAACAGAAACCTGGCATAGCTCCTGCAGGATGTTATGCGGCTGACCTTTCTTAATTTCTAATTATCTGCTTTCATCCTTTTTAGGTATACTATGCAGCCCTGGCTTTTACCTAAAAGGATTGTATTTTAAAATAGTTTGTGAAATATCACATGCTTGAGGTCTTAGAAGGTAATGGCAACTGGGTGACGTATTTGACTTTGGGAATTGATAGAGCGGCATGACGGTTTTGATACAGAGGCATGACCTTACAGCGGCATGACTTTATATAACATTCAATTGGTCAGTTCTTCACGGACCCGTAAATACTTTCTGACGAACCCAGCGTGACCAGCTCTCTTATCATGACCTTATTCTTACCGGTAAGCGCGTGGACCAGCTGTTTGTCCGTAACGCTGAGCTCAGCCTGGGTCTGAGAGGCAGAATCCTCCCAGTCACTGGCGTCAGGGCTACTACTGCTCTTCCGTTTCTTAGCCCACTTCTGCTTCGATTTAAGCAGGACATTCGAGTTAATGTGATAGATGCAAAGTTGTTGCTGCACGTCAGGAAACTGATCATTGAGGGCGGCCTTCATAGAGTCGTCGAAGTCGGTGATAATGACATCAGGTTGCCTAATAGAGTGCTGGTCTATAAGCTGGCGAATGCTCTCAGCGAGGAATTGGAAGCCTTCTATTCTCTCATTGTAGATCAGGCCGAAGGCTGCGTTGAATACAGTCCCAAGACAGGTCTGACCGGTGGCTTGGAATAAGGGAAGCTTGAATCGATTAGTATTGTATGTGTTGTCAAAGCTTATGGCCTCGTGGAACCGCTTCCACATCTGGATGCAATAAGGAAACGTCCAGACAAGACCCAGTAGACGGTTTGGTTGGTCATCAGCCCACTTGACAAGGTAGGAAATCTCCATCTCATCGAAGAGCTTGATTAATACCGCAGTAGGTGTGTAGCCATTTAGCTTTTCCCGGTTGATGAGCGCGCGGGCGTTGTAGATATCCCTCTGAGTAAATGACGATTCAGGATGTTGCTCTTCGACCACGGCCCGAACATCACGAGCCCGGATGCCGACTCGACGACTTGTTGATTCAATGGTTGCCCTTACTGGCGTAGTGAGTCGTCTATGGGAGGGGTGCGCAGACGATGTGATACTAGGTCCATGGTTATGCTGGCTGTGTTCCAAGTTTGGATGTTGTCGTAGAAGCCATTTGCCCTCTTCCAGGGCTTCAGCAATTACCATCCACTTACAGCCACACTTTCGAGATTTACGCTGTCGAAGGCCTGCGCCTTTTGAAGCCCCTGGCTGTCCAAATCGATCACACTGAAGCGAGTATCTTATCCGTCGTCGTTTATATGAATAGGCATTCCTTCGAACGATGCCAAACCCGTTTTCTTTCGCGAACATATTGACCGAGTCGAAGAGAGCTTCAGCCGATGGCGCCGGATCGCCTGTAATAGGTGGGCTAGGGATTGGGCCTGGAAAAGGTGAAGAGATTTGTGGAAAAGATAATGATTCCGGTGATTCGGCCCTTGGTGATACTTGAAGAATCTGTGTAGGTGACTTGCGCGGTGGAGAGTATGGTGGAGGAGATTCGTAGGCGTCTGAGCTGAGCGGCGACCAACCCCATCGCTCTCGCCATGCACGCACTCGTTCGTATGACCGAGCAAGGTCAATAGTCAGACTCTGGCCTTCACCAACAACCTGCCGTACAATTTTCATAGCAGATTCGAACTCAGCTCTTGTTGGGGTCGATGGCCGTTGGGCTGGCTCTGGTGGGGAGGAGAAAGGTGGAGGGTCGATTTCGGGACCTGGAATAGGGACCCTGACTCGCTGAAGTCGTGTCCTCCCTGATGGAAACTCATTTAGAAGGTAAATCTCGTAATCAAACCGCAGATCCCACGCAGGTTCGTGGAGGCCCTGCGAGCCGTGAGGCAGTGGGAAGGTCGAAAAAGTCTGTGGATAAGAAGCAAAGAGATTGCTTAGCGTATCTTCGTCGCCTGTTCTATAGTATTGGCCGATGCTTGCTGCGGAACTGCTTGCAGAGTTCGGTCGATTTACGAGTAAAGGAGGGCTAAAACTGGCTTGTCGGCTTGTTCGCTGTCGTTTTTCACGGTGTATTTGATTGCTAGGGCTTAAGCTTCGCGGCCTACGAAGGCCTATACGTCGTTCCACTGCAGGGGAAGACATTATGGAAGTGATAAAAGACATGAGGTCAAGAGGTGGGAACGCGTCTACGCGCCTAGAGCTATTATGGCTGGTTCGGAGCTAAGGTCAAAAAAATGTGGAGAGCTAAAGCTGTAGTACTTTTAATACAGGGGGCAGAATCCATAATCTACTAACAATTAAAAATTTAGCGAATCAAAGCCCGTGAAAGTCATGCCGCTGTAAGGTCATGCCTCTGTATTAAAACCGTCATGCCGCTCTATCAATTCCCTATATTATATACTAATAAATATAAATTAAATAAAGATAGGATAACGTGGTTGATAAGCATGCTGACCGGACAAGTATGCTGACCAAAAATCTCAACCATTTGGCTTTATATTACTATAAAACCACCACAAACTAGCTAATTAATTAAAACTATTCGCTATACTCTTCCCCAGATATCTGAATAACTACCTGACAGGTCCTTGCATTATGTCCGTCCTTGCCGCATACACTACAACGCCGAACACCCGGTCGCGCCGATCTTCCTTGACCACCACTTTTTCGATAATTCAGCTATTACTTGCATATCAACATCCATCTGATCAATTACTTGCGATGCTTCCTGTACAGTCATAGTCCCTCCTTTCTGTAGTCTAGTCCTTGTTCCCCTTCGGCGCCGACTTATTATCTTATTTGTTTGTTCAAGATCCTTTAACCTAGCCTCTACCAAGGCTAGTCGATGTATAGCTGCCTTTGTTGCTTTAGTACTAGACTTTAAAGCTTCTATAATTGACTCTGGTGAGCTACTCTTATGCCTTCTGATTCGCCTTTCAAGGTATTCAGACTGAGATCGGGCCTCAATTGCTGTTGTTGGGCTCTTTGAAGTCCAAGAGGTCGATGGTTTAGCAGCCTCCTCGGGAGGCGTTGGAGTCCGTAGCTGTACATCAAGCTTTGAGATTACATGTTCTGGGTCAAAAGGAGCAAGCCCGGCTCCTCTAAAACCTCCCCAAATATTACTTCTTGTAAATGTAGCTTGAAAAGCGGCATAAAAGGCCGGGAAGAACTCGGTCTTCAAAATGTGAGTTATAGAGCATCTGATCAGATGCTCTATTTTCCGACTATAGGCTTTCTTGAGCGACCCAAAGCACTCGACGTCAAGATGCTGGAGAAGATGAGACGAATGAGGTGGCATACAGAGCGTAATAATCTTCTTTTCCTTACAATATGCCTCAAAGTCGGCCGAATGGTGACTTTCGTGACCATCGAGGATTAGAAGACGATAGGGACCAGTTGATCGCTTAGTTGTAGACCGATCAAAGTGCTTTAGCCACTCGAGGCCGAACTTATTATCTGTTCAGCCATTTGGGCTCGTTGCAATAGCTCAATCGCCCGGGAGATCGCATTCTCGGTACCAATTGGCAAGGTGATATTGGCCTGCAACCACGAGAAATGGATCGATTGCCCGGCCTTCCGCATTCATCGCCTGGATGACTGTAATCCATTCCCGGTTTCCAGGCTGCACTAATTTTGGTCTTCCACGTCTTTCTGTGCCTGTGACAACCATGCCACTTCAGATCGTGCCCATCATAAAGCCAGTCTCATCAAAGTTCCGGATATCGTCTGATCGGATACCGTACTTCCCGATTAAATTCGGCACAAGAACAAACCACTTCCGCATTACAGTTGGATCTTCGTACTTGTCCCTCTGGTATTCATATTTACGTGAAAAACGCGTCTTGAGCTCTGATTGTCGCTTGACAAAGTTATGAGCCCAGCGCTTGCCGACAAGTGACGCGTCGCGGTCAGCTAGTAGTCGATTGGCTATTTCTTCAACAAATCGCAGTCGAGGGGGAAATCCTCGCGAATCTAGGTCGAGAATGAATTGAACTACTATCTGTTCTTCTAGATCAGATAGTCTGCGTGACTTTGGGATAGTATCGCGCATTGAAAAAATGCCATTTTGGCGACGACGTAGCCGCTGCTCGTGAATCTGATAGGTCTTTGGAGCACGTCGGATGCTTGGCTTTGGGTCATTTTGCAGGGCCCGAAGGGTAAGAAGGGTCCGAGCCTGCGTATTTATGCTTGACATCATCGGTTGTTGAGAACTAATTGATTAGATAAAAAGTTAGGTGCAGGGGGGAAAAGTGCGCCGCCTGCTTATCACATACGTTATAAAATAGTATTAAAAGATATAACTAACTTATGCCTACCCTATTATAACTTAATTACAATAGAGCCAAATCTGGCAGACTCTGCTTATTTCTGAACTGTAACATAATTACTAGACTAACTTATGGCAGGCTATAGAGGTGACTGTTGCAAAACCCCTGAAATCACTGCAAGTGTGTTAAATTGGGTTAGCGGCATATTCACTCCGCCCCGCAGTACATTGTGCTCTGTACCTCAGCTTGAATTTCTCGATTTTTAGCGTCGCGGCAAGATCCTGTCATAGCCACGAGGCGCACCAAACCAGCAGAATGCATTTTAATTAATTTGAAGCAAGATGCGGTCTCATGCGGGTATGACATGTACGGATGGGCAGCTCAAGGTTAAATGAGCGCCTGGTTTTCTATCCACAGGAGCGACGAGAGTCGGTCTCTTATGCGTATGCTCAGTCTGCTGATCTTCTAGACAGCATTCTGCCCGTGTTTTGGGGCTCATTTCAACCATGAAGTTATTCACCGGGGTCATGATCCTTGCCCTCCATGTGCAAGAACAATATCGCCCTTCTTCGCAGTGTATGAAGTCGCTAAGCTCTTTTTAGTAGGCGGTTACGACGCTAAACCACTGCTGACCAGAAACAGAATTACCGGGTTAACCGCCATGGGCTCACCAGGCTGCTTTTTATTGCGAATGGAAGGGGAATGGCCAGTCAAACTTTGGCGATGTCTGAAACAGGATGAGCTGTAATCATGAAATACAAATCAAAGCTTAGGCAGCGAGTTTATTTACAAAAAAATCGACTCAGATTGTGTTCATGATGACATGGTAGGTGTCTGCGCTGTGGCGATTGTCCACCAGTGTGTCGCATTAGGTGTGTACTTTGAGAGACAGAAGATCAGGCCATTAGTAACGAGTAGCAGTTGTGGATTGATTAATGTATGTGTATTTTTCGTCAGGGGGGCCATCGGCCCCGTAAAGTCCCCTACTGGGGCACAGGACGCGCTGAGCTAGGGGTCTCTCTCTATGATCTAATTACACAATGCTATTGGATGGGGAGAGGCTCAGTTGTTCGCAATGGCGAAATTAGACTTCCCTGTCAACCATTCATCTGATGTTGGCTACAGCGCGAGCCCGCAGCTAGTCCGCAGTACATTTTTCTGACGATTCCAAGGTACTCAGATGACTAAGAAGTAAAGCCCCTAAACCCAAATGGAAACCACCAGGAGTTTTGCAACAGTCCCCCCTATCGCCCACCGTACTAACTCACCGCCACCCCACACACCCCCTGTCCCCGCACACTTCAACACCATCAACGCGTCATCAACACAGGATTCTTCATTTTATTCTGTATTTGTCAAATAAAATCCGTTTTTATTTATTTCAATGGCAATAGAATCGCAGCTATCAGATTATGAAAAGAGGATGTTATTGGCCATTGAGGACGTGGAAATCATTGGTTTGCGGCCCTCGGCGGTAAAACACTCGGTCAAGCTCTCAACATTGCATGATCGATGCGCCGGAGGCCAGGATATCCGCACGGCACATCAGAAAGATCAGTCGCTTACTGTAGAGCAGGAAGATGACCTAGTCAACTATATTATCGAACGAGAGCGCGCTTTTCAGCCTCCCACGAAGAAGGATATCCATGACTTCGCACAGGCGTTATCATCAGTCAACGGGCAAGTCTCTTATGTCGGCAAGAACTGGGTTAACAGATTCTTTACCCGCCATTCGAGTATAGAATTGAAGCCATCGCGAGTCATAGAATCCGCGAGGAAGCGTTGTGTGACGAAGGAGTCACTTTCCGAGTACTACGATGGTCTTAACTGGGTAGTCAACACGAAGAAGATAACTAGGCCTTATATGTACAACATTGACGAGACCGGCGTTTAAATCGGTGAGACTAACGGTGGCATAGTAGCCGGAACGGCGATGACTTCTTCCTCAGAGAGGATAAAGTCCGATAATACGACTTGGAGCTCGATAATCGAGTCCGTATCAGCGGACGGTCGGCGTCTCACGCCTTGTGTCGTTTTTACCGGCGAGAACTTCCAAGGACAGTGGTTTCCAGCCGTTTTTCCTGATTGGAAGTACACTTGCAGTCCAACCGGTTGGTCTAACAGCGACATCTTCGTCCGTTGGTTCATGGGGGTATTCGTACCGCAGACTAAGCCGAAGGATCCTAATCAATGGAGACTATTAGTTCTAGACCAGCATAAGTCACATATTACAGCGGAATTGATGAAAAAGGCATGGCTGAATAAGATTTGGCTCTCTTGGTTACCCTCACACTCATCACATATCACTCAGCCGCTCGATGTTGCCGTATTTGGTCCGTTGAAAACGTACTATCGCCAGTTTACCCGCTCTTGGGCCTCATACGAAGCAACCTCGCCACACCAACAACGACTCTTCCTAAAAGCTTATGAGAGTGCTTCATTGAAAGCCCTGAGCTGTAGGAACATAATAAGTGGTTTCTCGGCCCCTGGGCTTTTCCCGATCAATCTACAGAAGGCGTTGGCGGCGTTGAAGCCAAGGGAGAAGAAACGCAAGCGCTTCAACGGGCCTATAACACCAAGGAAGGCCCAAGTAATCGCTGATACGATCTGGAGTACGCCCCAAGGAAGTGCCGATATTCAAAAACAACTGGAAGCCGTGCAAAGTCAAGGAAATACCTTTATTCGCGACTTCAATTGTATCATAAAGAAAGCGATGAAATGTATCGACCAGAAGAACAGTCAAATTCAACGCCTAGAGGAGGAAAAAGCAGTACTGAAGGCGTCAGTAGCAGCAAGAGAGCCCACTGGCCGAGTCGCCGTTCAATTTGACCCCAACAAGGCTTTCCCTGAGATTGAACAGATTATCTCGGCTCGTGATCAGGTTGAAAAGAACGTACTACATCAGATCGAGGGAAATAAGAGAAAACAACGTAAAAAGAATCCGCCAAAAACACAGACTGCAGATACAATATTCGTAAATCAGTTTCCAAACTCTCAGTTAAATTGAATAAATACTCGTTATTGTAGAATTAATTGAAGTCATCTACGGATTCGCGTTGTGATGCTATCACGGGTGTTCGGGGACGGGGGGTGTGTGGGGTGGCGGTGAGTTAGTCTAGTAAGTTACAAGGAGAGAAGACACTCAAAGACAAAGAAATAGCCAGAGTCGCCAAATATTCTATGTGTACAGTACGCCATACGCATTTAAAGCTATCCAGCTTCAGGCCAACAAAAGCCCCTTCGAACAGTACGTCATTTGGCAGTTGCGGTTGTCAAAAAGCCTTCTAGATCCCGCACGGTGACTTCCCGTTGAGTACTAGCCCGTTACACCTGTCTGTCGCCTCAACGCCAGAGAATAGACCATTCCGCAGCACGGCGAGGCCGGCGTGATCCGGCGTTTCGGCCAAGAACGAGAAGCAATGTCTCAGGATGACCAAACGTAACCGCACCGCCTATGGCTGTGAACTTTCCGCTACCCGTCTTGCAGAAGATCACGGCCGGCCCTCGCAATTGCAAATCGGCCGCTACTAAATCTCCAAGTAGCGCCGGCAGGTGCTGATCCTGTAAGTGTGTTTCTTAGTGCCTAATACCACGTGAGGGCAGAGGAAAGTGAAGTGGCGGCGTTAGTGCTCACTTGGTTTGGCTTGGCGGTGTCCCGGCCCGTGGAAGGGTGGTTGAAGGCGCCGCTCGACTTCTCCTGCTGAGCCGGCAACACTGAGCAAGATGCGGATTGGGTCGGGCTGTCGGTGGATGTGAATGGATAGTGTGTCTGACTAGGACTTTGGGCAACGGAATAAAGCTGCGGCCATGCTAGACCCAGGGATCTCCGGAGATACTCTGCAGATAGAACTTTGCGAGCCTCCTCAAACATCTAGTAATGCATTCTACGTGCTATCACCAATCACATTCGCTCTCGTCTTCCCCCGCCCGTCTTGGCTATCTGATCCATCTCCAAATCGTGGATTCCGAGATCTTGCCACGAATCCGACTCGTTGTCTGTCAATGCCGAAAACGGATAGGTATCATCATGGAATTGGTGATTGGAGGGAGCGTGTGCAATCGAGGTTGAGCTGCGAGCTCCGTCGTTGGGTGTATTCAACCGCACACCCCTGTCGTGTTTGCGAGGATCTCCAGAGCCGCCAATAGTTACAATTCCCGACAGACTTCCTCCAGTGGCCCTCGGCGTGCTATGCCGAGCTCGGCCGTATATGGCAAGGTATAATATAGGTTTCAGGGACGGAAGACAAGCTAAGAGATAATCAGGGCAACATGATCGGGCGGGGAGGCGCATGCCCGACTTACCGCAGACGGTCCCAACGTTGACTTCGATTCCAGTCCACATCATCTCTTCGCTAAACAACCAAGTGACATCTATGCTGGAAAAGTCGAGCGCAACCACATAGTACAGCCGGACGAAAGACACGGCGGTGACACTGGTCCGAGGATTGAATTAGCCCCAATCAACAAATCCTAACTTGCGACGTGCAGGTCTGCTTACAATAGGCCGAGCGCAAAGATGCCCAAGACTGCTATCTTCTTCGCGGTGTGCAGTTGTAGGCTCCAAATTCCCGGGACGGGAACGAGAAGAATTAATATATCGGTGATGATATTCGGTATTGCATTTGCAATAAAGAACATTCTGACGTTAACTGGGCATTTGTATATCATGTCACTACCGCCGTTGGGGTCGAACCGAAGCCAAAATGCGGACACGGGCAGGCATTGAAAAGTCGAAACGAGGATCTAGGCATCTAGTCAGTATACTGGGGAGATGAACGGTGTGCCGACTAAGGAACAGCGGAAGAGGGGGTGGGGAACGTACGACGGCGATTCCCCAAGCTGAAATAATGCCAAATAAAATACAGATGGGTAACCGGGTTGAGCGCACCGAGCCAAAAATCCGCCAGTAAAGAGCAAGTATAGACCACTTAACCAAGACAATGCTCATGGTATACAGGTACTCGGCGATAAATAAGCCGTGAAAGTAAACCTCAAGTCCGTCCAGCGGTGCAGCCCAGATGTGTTTGCCAAAGCCACCGCGAGTAGTCACTGTACGAACTGTCAGTATTGGCTGCCATATCGGGCTACGACATCAAACAACGCACTGTAGCAGGTTACGTCAAACATGAACCCAGCAGAGAATAGCTGCATTTATGCCCTGTTAGTCATGGGTTTCGAGGGAATAGGGAAGGTTTGTAGGAGGGAAAAAATACCAGCGAAACAACAATGAGCCAGTCATCCCACCAGAGCTGGTTCTGAACAAGTCTTCGCGATGTGATACGCAGACAGATACTGACAGCCCCGAAAACCCAGGTCAGGACAAAGCCAGAGACAAGGGCTGGGACTTTGGTCTCGTCGAGGTCGAGACCTGGAGGCGGTTCTGGGAGAGAACCCATCTTTGGTCTTGGGTACGGTGGATGGATGGAAACAGCACTGACGGTTGCAGATATAGGTGTTGGCCTCGACAATACTTATACCGACCAGGCAGAGAGTTGCCGAAAAGCTACAAGGGGATCGACAAAGCCTTTCCCAGGGGCTTGAAAAAAGCTTGGCGAGTCATGGACTCCTGCCGAGACGAGCCAACGGATAAGGCAGCGGTAGCTCCATCTAGTGCGCGCTGTAGACGCTGATCCCCGCGACCCGAAAATGGGGGATATCTCCTCGGTGGGGGTAAGGCTCCAGCATCTTAGTCGGTCCAGTCTTAGAACCTTGACAATCCGCCGCGAATCAGCCACTATGCGTTAGGATCTTAGCGTATAGAGGCCTGCCACTTAGGCCACTAACAGAGATGAATGAGGCATTCTCGGGTTGGTTCTCTATGAACAGAGATGATATACAACAGCAATGCGGCGTTCTCCGAAACTTTATTCTTGCCCTATGTAACGTCATTAAAACTACTTCGTACTAGGGCGGGCGTCACTGAAGGGTTAGCCATATCCTTAATGGAGGGTTCTACTGAATTTTCTTTTTCTACAGCGAGGCCAATGATTATTCGACAGGGATTGCATCGCATCAGTGGTAATGAAACGCCCGGTGTCGCCCGGAACCAATCTCCCTGCCAAATCAGGAGTGAAGAGCGTGGATCGGACAGCCACTGCTATCATCACTGTCGTCACCGCAACTCTATAGCTGGACCCTCATCTGGCCCGAGTGCGCCGCCTTTTCGACTCCATCCACCACGTCTTGAACCGCTGACAAGAAGGGCGAGTGCGAGGTTCTGCTCCGGAAAATAACTGAATCCGGGCCTAGGATTTGAGCCATCTGCTCTTGCACGGCGGCAGGGACAGCTCTGTCTTCTTCGCAGACAAAGTATAAGCAGTGCATGTCGTGCCAAGGCTCGTAGTCTACCTCATCCGTCCACGCACGCACGCATTCGTGTGTGAGAGCCGCAGCCGCCTCTTTCTGCAGATCTAGAGGCACATCATGATAAAATACCTCCTCTGGTGTGTCTGCAAATACGTACGAGCCCTGTGTGCATGATCGACAATTTAGCCATGGTCCTCTATGTACCAGGGGATGTTGCGCTGGTGTTTTGGAATCGGTGGTCGACTCCACACTTCTTACCTCTACACGCATCCAGGGAAGCCACCGTCCTCCAAGAAGTTTGAGAATGCTCTGGCCCACGGGCGTTACGAATGCAGCGAGGTAAAGGAACGTGACGATCCCTCCCGCCTTGCCCTCCTTCTGTCGCTGCTCGTAGCCAAGGCCTGGGACGGCGTTTGCACCAACCAGGCCTCCATACGAGTGGACGACCAGAACAATCTGCTTACCTTGATTAGCTAAATCATCGAGAACGTTGCGCAGCGCCGCAGCGTCGTCGGGAATCCCCTTGGTGGGCGGCTCGGCACCGACAGACGGGTACGTGACGGCGTCAGTCTCCCAACCCCTGGCTTGCAATGCATTGCGAACAAGTCGGAACGAGTCCGGGGAGTGCCATGCCCCTGGTGCGAAAACGATAGTCGGCTTGCGAGTCATATTGAATCCGGTACTCAACGTTGGAAGATCAGGTGAGGAGGAACTCTGGGTGCCTCTCGTCCGTTGGTGGGTGGACGCACAGTACTTATAGCTGTGAACTTGACTTTTATCTAGCCCTGAACGATTTAGTCGAGATGACGGTGCCTCTCGTCGCTTAAACTTAAGAATGCAGGGTATTAAGTAGTAGTGTTCATACAATAGGTTATTAAAGACTTATTAGCTTAGCGCCGGTCGTCATAAGAGCCCGATAAGACACCTTGACGAAATGAAGCGATGTAAATTAAAAAGAAGATTATTAAATTTAGGTTCCCACCTATCAACAATTGATAAATGAACTGAAGGTAAGTTAGAGTTTATTTAAAAACCCATACAAATTGAAGCCTCCACTTCCGTACCTAGCAGCGGGGGTAGCCAATAAAAATGCATTAAATCAAAGATACATTTATCCCCACCTAACTTTGGTTGTGTCAAAGGTCCCAGCAATTGCCAAGTCTACATGAAGCTACATTACATTCTTGACACCTATATCGTGACTGTGGCGCCCTTCGACTGTTACCGCTACTCGTGGGTTTGACTAAAAAGGAACCCCACTCATAGAGTGGGCGGCAAAAATCTGGGACAAGGGCAAAAATCTGGGACAGCCGAATACCCCGCTCAGTCCGAATTTGCTTGATTTCACCACCAAAAACCCAACTTTTGAAAGACATTTCTAAGTATTATTCGGTCATATCTTGTATCTTAATTTGAATTTTCATCTACACCGTCACTATGACTGATCTTTATCAACTCAATCCTGCCGTTGCGGCCGCACGTGCGATTTTGCTCTCACAACGCCGCCACCGCAACACTAAGGAAGGGAAGCCTCTCACCGTGAGAGAAGCTGCGGATAGATTCAGGGCCTCCAAGAGTGCTGTTGGTCGTCATCTGAAGTCAATGAAGCTATACGGAAAACCTGACTTCAGTAATAACAGCCGCGGCCGGCCGAGGAATCTCGATGAGGCTGAGGAGCGTGCCGTGATCGCGTATATCGTTTGGCTCGAGAGAGCAGGTTTTCCCTGTAATCAGCTACTTATTGAAGAGGCAGCGAATGATTTGAGGGCATCACGAACGCCTCCAGCAGGGCCTGTTGGCGATGGATGGTATAGGCGGTTTCTTCGCGATAATCCGCAGCTGCAGAAGAAGAAGTTAGTTCGAGCTTTCGACCGAGAAAGGGCAGGATTTGAAGCTGGAGATATTGAAGATCTTGAGCAATTCTATACTGACCTTGGTGTAGCTGTTAAAAACCGAGATATCGAGGCCTCACAGATGTTCAACGCCGATGAATGCGGCATACGGATTGGCGCCCTTCGCGAGAGGCTTGAGGTGATTTTCGTGAAGAAGATGCTTAATGCTAAACACGATGTTGTTTCTTTTACCAACAGAGAATCAACCACGATGCTTGTATGCGCGAATGCAGCTGGATGTAAGTATTCTCTGGACTTCTGTGCATATTCTAATATATTTTTAGTCATGATACCTCCATTAATGGTATTTAAGACTTGGCCAACGGAATCTTGGGATGTTGATGATTTGGATGAGGGTATTCGCTTCGCTCGCTCTGAGAGCGGCTTTTCCAACGCAGAGATCTCGATGGATTGGATCCGTCATTTTAATCGCAATTCCTTCGAATGCACAGCAAAGGCACAGTCTAGAGGTATTACTTTTACTGACTGGTTTGGCTGTGATGAGTATATGAGAGATATCGATATGCCTGACTTCATTTGGCATCAGCCGTATTTTGAGCGGCCTGAAAAGGAGCGGATTTGGCGATTCCTTGTTATCGACGGCTTCACCGGCAAGACCTCCTTGGAGCTTATGGATTATTGTATTTGCTTCGATATCGAGATCTTCATTCTTCCTCCCCATTCAACACATCATACACAACCTCTAGATGTTGGAGTATTTCAGCTGCTGAAAAATTCTCACCAAAAACGTCTGCGGCATCACATCCGCGAAGGTTATCTCAATTTCAAGCGCTCCGACTTCGTCAGCAAGCTAAGCGAGATAATTAAAGAAGGCTTCTCAGTTCATAACATCATGAACGGCTTTGAGAAGAGCGGAATTTTCCCTGTAAACGGGGCGGCAGTTATTCACAAAGTCAGGGAGAAGAAGAAGTCTCTTCTCGCTATTACAAATCCTGCTCTGCCGTCACTTCTTCCAAAAGAAGCGCGCTTTAAAGATGCTCGCGAAGTTGCTCGTCATCTTAAACGCAACTATCGCGATGGCTTCAGTTCACCTACTCGTCATTCCTTCGGCGTTTTGGAAGATGTTGTATGTGAGGCTGTAGTTCTGAATAGCTTCGCAGAAGAGCACATAAAGACCCGACTCGATCGTATTGCCTCTGTAAACAACAAGAGGAAGAAGAGGAAGAAGGTAATGCCATCAAGATTATATATTAATAGCGTTACAGTTAAGTAGGTGCGAGAACGTCTCAATGCTTCAACGAAGAAAGAGCAAGAAGAGGAGCTTTGCCGCCAACGCCGCAGCTTGAAGCAATTACAAAAAGAAGAAGATAACCGCCTACGAGAGGAATATGAGAAGAGTTATAAGTATGATATAAGCAACAATGGGAAGCCTGTTCATATTAGCTTTCCGCGTTGGAAGAAGTGGAAGCAATTAGATATAGTTGACGAGATTCTCGTTATTCCTCCTCCATCGCGGGGAGCTTCACCAACTCCCCAAGAAGGCTTCTTTTATGATACGAGGGGTTCAGTACAGCAGAAACGCTTCCACGAGCGACTTCGTGATGCCAGCGCTGCTGGCTTTTACCGAAGTCCTCTTCAGGATATGCCTGCCCTTCCTTCGAGCGATAGTGTTGAGGTTATGCTCGGCAACTCACAGAGAGATCCTGCTCGTGATAACCTTACTTTTGGAGATTCTGATGACTCGGAAATCGATGAAGACAGCCCTGATTTTGTTGATCTGTCACAGGATATCGAGGAGCCCGAGCTACCGCCCCTTCCTGCTCCTTTGCCCAGCTTCGAGACCGATTTTTCATCCACTTATCACAGAATCATGAATACATTACACCCGCAAAGGCACACACAGTAACAGATCGTCATCCCTTGTGCCGTTGGCGGCCAGATCAGAGGCAGAGGTGAAGGCATCGTGGGGCTGGACTGGCCCGCAGTCAAGGTTCACAATTTCGGCCGCAACACCACCACAAATATGCCTCGCATAATAAAATAATTTTAGAGATAGCTTTAATACACTTTAATTGAGTCATAGCAGAAATTTCGAATTTATTGCGATAAAATTAGAAGTGTAAGCCAGAGATTTCCTGATTTTCCCACCTATTTCTAACCCATCAGCTGTCCCAGATTTTTGCCCTTGTCCCAGATTTTTGCCGCCCACTCTATGAGTGGGGTTCCTTTTTAGTCAAACCCACGAGTAATCGCATACAATGCTGCCCTTGATCTTCGAGACCGACGCTGACCTAGCCGGAGGCCTTGACAGGCAAGGCATTCAGATTTTCCTTTGCGAACGCGAGTGTGCTGTAACGTAGGCGTAGATTCGTTTCCAGTCCGAAATCTCTTTCTTGATTGCGTCTTTGGTGCATCCGCTTCCATAAGATCATTCACAAGCCGTTGCCGCCAACTGCCTTGCGAAATCTCTGCCTTCCATTGCGGCTGCCCTCGCTGCTGCAAAATGAAGCTATTGACAAGGGCAATTTCCAGGAGAAAGTCCCAAGCCAGGGCTTTCCAGCCGCCTCGGCGCACACGACGATCAAGGCCCCAATAAGCTCTCATTTGGTGACCTCGATCCACGGCATTCATCTCGTTGTTATAGATAGCAGCAATAGATGGGATAGAAACCTGTTTAACAGGGTCGTCACCAAAAAACGCTGTATTGGTCGTGCTTGCATTTGGTCTGTTGTTGGTTTCTTCCTGATGCAGTCAAGCCTTTCATTGCCCTTAAACAAAGTCGTCAGAAATAACACAAGCGCATCGTCTTTCCAAGCGATCTGGTTGACCTTGTTATCGGCTGTTGGAATAGCTTTAACAACATTAAACTTGAGGCTGCCAGCAGCTGTATTATCTATAGCCTTTAGCTTGACAAGGGGCTTGTAGATGCCACAGTTCTTGCGGGCTGTGCCCGTGGCTCCATGGCCACGCTGCCGAAGTCTCCGGAATAGATCGCAGGAAGAGAACAAATTATCGAGGAATACATGGTACGTGGATTTCGGCAGTAAATTAACCAAGGCAACAACCACAGCTTGAGTCGGGTTCAGATGGATCGTGTTTCTCTCTCGAAGCTGCCGGCGTTGTCGCTTCATCCGCAGCTGTGAGGGCAGGCACCGGTAGGTCGGCCTAACCCCAACAGGCCCGAACTTCCGGCCCAGCCTATGCCAAATCCACCGAAGAAAATAGCCTCGCTGAGCCACAGCCCAGATTTTGAAGGCTGTGGGGATCGGCTTGCAAGGGATAGTTGTTGTCTCAACAGATCTTCCTAGAAAACGGACCATGCACTCATCTACAGCAATAGATGTGCCCGGTATATAGAAGACGGTACATATATGTTGTATATGGTCAGATCATGTATGAACCCGACTGAATGTACGGCCATAGAAGCCCATATCATCTAGATTGAGAGTCAGAGGATCATAGATATGAAGATGTCGAGATAGTAATTGGAAGCGGTTATAAGACATCCATTTGACTACTGGATGAACTGGGCGAAGGTCCTTAGGTTTTGAAACCTTCCAATAATCCTCGATGTTTGGCTCCTTATGTATTCTCATATACATCAAGGTCGCAAGCCATACGTAGATTTCCGCAGTAGAGGTCGGCTTCCAGGCTAGCAGCCGCGATTGCGGATGTAGTCTTTGGGTGCCATCTTCATGCTGCTCAAGCCGGTGACTGACCCAGCTGTTGGTGTAGCAGACCCAGCTTTCCACTAAGGAAATAGGCACGAATTGCTGGAAAAGCAACAGCGGCTCTGAGGGCAGGGCCGTTATCTCAAAGGGCCGGGTTGGAACGACCATGGCCTCGAAGTTGTAGCCACGATCAAGAATAGGATCATGTATTGGCCGGCAGGTGTTATCAGCGGGCTGCTCGCGGCGGCTATCATCGACACGGATGAAGCTATTATCATCATATGCGTTGACTGCTTGGCTGATGAGCTGTTGGGAATCCATGAGAACTCATAAAATGAGATATATGATGAAATGGGCGGGGTTGATTTTGGTGGTTCTCAAAGTCACTCCATGTACCTCAGATCCGGCGGGGGTTATGTGGGGCCAGGTACGAAGGTGGAGGCTTACGACAGTCAAAGGGATAGTTAAGATTTTTGGTCAACTCGCTTAACGTACCATCCAAGCGAGTGAGCCACTGCACTGTGCACCTAA